CCAATATTTTTATTAGCATTAGACGAGGTAGATTACTTCGGTCCGCTATATGTGCGTGAGCTACGCACATTTTAAACTTTTCAAAAAATTCTTAAATATCTAATATGAAGTGAAGGAACTAGTCGATATTATCCAAATCTGACACGTTTTTATATTTTTATCAAACTTATGTCAGATACGAAATGGACAATATTGGCCCATTCCTTCGGAACCACTCCTAAAAAGGGTCAACAGTTATGATTATTCATAACGCAATTCCAAATACATTGGCTAAGGGTATGCAGCTATCGGCAATCCCGACCGATTCTTTACAAAAAAAAAAAAAAAAAAAAAGACAAACGGAGATTATTTTTTAAGGAATTTTAGGTCCCTTCCTGTTTGGAATATCCACTCAGCCATGGTCCACGAAATCCTATTTTTGCTCATGTGGACCCCCACGAAATTTCATGACCGTAGTCCTTCCAATAATTTAGACTCACATCACATGTTTCAGAAATAAAAAAGTAAATTAAACGCTTCCTGCAGATGTCAAAAAAGAGGAGGAATTATTCGATATCCAAGTAAGATATACGTTGTAAATACTATTCGGCCCATGCTACGGCATATAATGCACAGGCCATCTCCAAAAGTCAATTTTTAATATTTGTCAAGTTATTCGAAAGAGTTCATATTTATTTTACTATTTTATTTATTTGCATACAAAGGAGGAGGGGGTTCCTCCTTGCCCTTAATGGCCTCATAAAAAATGTGCAACTTAATAAATTATTAGAAAAAACAATTGACAATGATTGCAAATGTAACGGAAACACGAAAAAGAAACAATTAATAAAAAACAATTTGACGTTACTTTCATTGTCCTTTAGCCCCGTTTCCGGCATCAATGGCCACTTACTCAGCTCTTTCAGGAGCAGTCAAGCCAACTCATCATCATCACAAAGTCATCACTGAGTCCGAGTGGCAGTAGTTGGTCATATAAAATTCATGTGACACTTTTCAGCAATCATCACAAACAGATGGACAACAGACCGGCAGACAGAACAGACAAATGGACAAACAGACATGGAATGACAGTCAGACAGCGGACAAAGCAGACAAATCGAGGCTGGCTAAAGTGTCACTTCAAAGTGCAAAAAGAAAAGAATAAAAACAACAACAAACATAGAACACGAGGCACAAAGGCACGATCTGAGCGCACAAAGTGGTCGGTTGCAGTGCAACTGACAAAACCATCCAACCAACGAATGGACGGACGAATGGAAGAATGAATGAATATCTGCTGCTGTTGCTACCGTTCCTGAATGAGAGAAATAATGCAAAAAATTAACGGCTCACTCACAACCAGACCGGCAGTAGTTACTCAGCTCGTCAGTCAGTCAGTCAGTCCGAGTAATGAATTAACTACTAAAAGTTAATGGACAGAAAACAATTTGACTGCGTTCTTCTCTGCGTCTATTTTCCATTTGAATTTATTTTTTCTTCTTTTTTCTTTTGGCCCTTTGTCACCGTCATTCCGGCCTCGTCTTAGACACGCAGTGTCAACGAGAGGCAAATGTTTAATTTCGAGCGTAATTATGACATGTCTATGACAGGCTAAAGCCCTAATAAAATAGTCACGGCATTAAATGGTCGTATGGGAGGGGGAGGGTGGTAGGTTTCGGTGCAAATAATTAAGGGCTTAGTTATGCGAATTAAAGATTAATAAAAGTGAACGGGAGTGAAAGTAAATTAATTAATTTTTTTTTGTGGCTCAATGTTGGATTATTTGCGATTAAAAATTGTAATTGAAATATAATATCGAAATATTCAGGATGAATGAATAAAACAAAAGGTTTTTGTGGAAAAGGAAAAATTAGTAATCAGTGATAGTTACAACAAGTTCAAAAGCAGTAAGTTCGGCCGGGCCGAACTTTGAATACCCTCCACCATGTGGAACGAATTTGGAAATTTTCAAAAAATAAAATTCTTAAAAAATTCTGTTAAAATTTTAAAAATACCGAATATAGCCGTTATATTGGGGTCTGCACCACGTGTACCTACATAGGCATAGTTTGTCGTTAGCCATTACCATATTCAAATTCGAAACTAGAAATAAACGGTGAATAATATAGCTAAAATCATCAAAATATCGTATATAGAGAGGTAATGTTATATCGTCATCTCAAACAATTTCGGTGGGTATTGTAGCTAAAACCGTCAAAATGCCCAATATTGGGAGGTGCCATTATATGGGGGCTATACGAAGACGTGGACCTGCACAGACAATTTTCTATCATAGGCTGTAGTATCCATTACCAAATTTGAAACAATTCTGGTTAATAATGTCGCTAAAAGCATCAACATATCGAACATAGGGAGGTGCCTTTACATGGGGGCTATACGAAGACGTGGACCTACATGGTCCATTTTCGAACTTAACCTGCCTACTGGAAAAATAAACATGTGTGCAAAATTTTAGCCTTCTATCTCAATTTGTTCGAAAGATAGCGTGATTACAACAGACAGACAGACGGACACCGCTAATACGACTTAGAATTTTACGCTGATCAAGAATATACTTTGTTGGGTCTGACATGAGTATTTCGAGGAGTTACAAACGGAATGACAAAGTTAATATACCCTCCATAGTATGGTGGAGGGTATAAAAAGTAGGAAATTAGAAGAAATAGAATATTGAAAATGTGGGTGTGGGCTTAAAAATATATTTTGTTTTTCTGAAAAACGGGAAGAAAATATAGTATGTATACATAACATTGATTTCAGTATTGAGACGGACTCCAGATTTTTGTAAATTGAAATTAAAACGCACCAAAATACGGTCAATGTAGCAAAATAAGTGCAAAAGTCGTACAAAATATTTAAGGAAAGGAAATATTTAAATATTATAGCGTTGATTTGAGCCAGATGTGAATATAAAATTTTGAAATAGTGATCTATTTCTTATAGATATAAATAAGTTAAAAACAAGTTAAAAAGTATCAGTCCGTTTTGCCGACAGATGTTTACCCTCGGCCAATTTTTGGTTATTCAAAACGTTGACTCTTTGTGGGGGAGGTACTAGAAGGAAGGTCCGATCTCTACCATCTTCATAACAGACCTCGTGTTGATAGAAATATTGAGATGTACCAAGTCTGAATGAAATCGGTTATTAATTCACGTTTTATGACCCTTTTATGGATAGGTACCAGAAAGAGTGGATCGATATATCCAACCTTAACAGCAGATCTTGTGTTAGTAGAAATAATTGGATGTGTGATATAAGAAGAGAACCGGATTTTTAATTCGTATTTTATAATCGTTTTGGTTATTCAAAACTTTGACCTTTTGTGGGGGAGGTACCAGAAGGAATGGTCCGATCTCTATCATCTTTATAACAGAAAATTGGAGTTCATTTGTGGGGGAGGTACCAATGGGGGTGGGTTGATATATTCCATCTTCACACCAGACCTTGGGTTAATAAAAGTATTTATTAAGGTATACTTATTCAAAATTTTGACACTTTGTGGGGGAGGTACTTCATGAATTGGACCAATATTACCCATTTTAGCCCCTGACTGATGCAAATATTAGGATTTGCAAAGTTGGAGCAAAATCGAATTATCTTTTCTCTTTTTGTGCAGTAAAATATTTTTTTTTTTTTGAAAATGTATACCTTTTGTGGGAGAGGCATCAAAAGGAGTGGGCCGATATTGCCCATCTTCGAAGTCGAACTAAGTTTGATAATAATATTACGATTTACCGAGATTGGACCAAATCGAATGCTACCTTCGAGAGTTATCGTGCGCACCACGCAGCAATACAGTCTACGGACCTCGCTAGATCGACTCCAAATGTCCTGAAATGGATTTGGTTCAAAGACACCTAGGATCTAAAACCATTGAATTAAAAATATTGGCATTGGGGTCTCTGCTGGTGGATAGTGAATATTAAATTTAGTACCTTGAACGTGAACGAATACTACTTGAAATCTGAAATTTGATATTAGGATCACTGTTAGTGTGGAAGGTTGAGATTTCTAGAACCAAAAGTACTAAACGGTACTAAATTTGCAATTTGGGGAAAGCATTGAGTTGAAAGTCCATTAGGATCACCTATTGTTGTACGATTCGGTTGTTACATGAAAGGGGTATTTAGCCTTGATACTTGGGGAAGGAATAGAGCTGGAAATCTGAAATTTGATGCAGAGGTCTCCGTTGATATTTGGAATTGAGATAAGGAGTTGGTTTTGGAAACATGTACTAAAATTATACGAAAAGTACGATTTGGTATCATTATACCCTACACCACAAGGTGGTCAGAGTATTATGTCTTTGTTCATTTGTTTGTAACAGCATAGAATCACATTCGGAATCGATTTATGCATGTCTATCCGTCCGTCTGTCCATGTATTTTTGTAAACAAAGAACAGGTCGCATTTATTGTCCGATCCAGATGAAATTTTGCACAAGTCATTTGTTTGACTCAAGGACGAACCCTTTTGAAATTGGAGATAAAATTAAGATAAAGCTTCCAAAGAAATCCTCGTCCGATTTACCTTTTATTGTGCACCAAACGTGTAGTATCAGCGCAAATAGTATGGAATTTTACACATACGACCAAATTAATCCTGGAAATAAGTATGCCGAATTTGATCAAAATCGGTTCAGGTATAGCTAAAGCTTTCATATATATATATGGTTTGATATTTTTGTCCTACGCAGCCGTATTATGCACTTTGTAAGAACGATATTTGGGGAAATATATCAAATACAGCACTTTGCTTAATGTTATCGAGATCGGTTCGGATTTGGATATAGCACCCACACATACATTCGTCCGATTTGCCTTTTACTGTGCACCAAACGTGTAATATTAGCCCAAATAGGATGGAATTTCGCACTTACGAACAAATTGATCCTTAAAATGAGTATTTCAAATTTCGGCTCAGACATATAGCTTAGCTCACATAACCTCAACTTTTCCCCTTACATTTGTATTAAAAAGAAAAAACATAAAATTTCGATTTGTTTCTAAATTTTATTTCGCTTAGTCCAAAAACAGGGTTCAACACTTCATTAATTGATCAAAAACTTTTACTCCAAATTGCAACCATCATCTATTTACGCAACAAGTAGGAAGCGGCATAGGGATAAGTGTAGGCGCTAGCATAAGGAGCGGCTACATAGGGAGAGGCATAGTAGGGAGCTGTATAAGCGGCAGTGTAGGGAGCGGCATAGGCGGCAGTGTAGGCAGCTGTGTATGGGGCAGCAGCTACATAGGGAGCGGAGTAAGCCAAGGGAGCAACAATGCCGGGCTTAGCAGCAGCCAAGGCAACGACGGCCATCAAACACAAAGCGAACTAAAAGATGAAAATAAATTCAATTACAAATATCCTTTACCCTCGCCTCCATCCTCGCCAATGATTTAACTTACGAATTTGAACATGTTGTTGGTTTTGTTGTGGTCAACTAAATTGCTTTAATTAAACTGATAACAAACGATTTAAATTGTTTGCTATTTATACACAGAAATTAAAATTATTATTAGGTGTTCTGGTTTCTGCCAAAAAAAATGTCTGTCTCTCTGTTTGTCCGTCCACCTGCCTGCCCTAGGCCCATAAATTATTGCTATGAGTGTACGGGTGCGTACATATGTGTGTTTGAACATAAATTTGCTTTGCTACGAGCACAAGTTTGTTTTTTGGGCTTTTTTAATATTTATTGTCGTAATTACGGAAGGTGTTGGCAGAATTTAAATTAAAAATCGATTTTCATTGAATTAGTCAGCCGATATGGACAAGCTTGCCATGAATGATGGCCACCTTTAGTTGTCGTCGTCGTTGTTGTTGTCGTGGTCAGTTTCGTTGTGTCTGAGTTTGGCCATCGTCGTCATAACCATCCACCGAACATCGTCGTTCGACAAGGGTTTATTGTGCCAATAACCCAGTGTCCAACAATCGATAACAACAACAATGACAGCCAAGAACAGAACTGAAAACACCATCGGCAGCAACCACATGTTTTGTTCGCAGCAACAACAACAAATAGCGAAACATTTGCCTAGTAGTCACCTTCCAGTACGCTTCAACCCTTTCGGACAAGAGTAGAATATTGGCGATTTTTCCAAAGGTCTTTGTTTGTGTGTGTGTTTTCTTTCTCATTGCTCTTGCCAAGTCTCGGATATTGGCGTTCTTGATGTTTTTTAATCATCGTTTCGGGTTTTGTTTTTAGCCAAACAAAAATTTGTAAGCCATAGATTTTGTGTGTTCCTCTGTTGGGCGGGTAAGTACGACGGGGAGCGCGCACTTGAATGACCGAATTGTTTGTCTGGCTGTGAGTGTCGGTGTGGTGTGTGTGTCATGTCATGTAAGCCTTCATATCCATGGATTTTTCACAGGCTTTGGCCAATTATGTCACTGGGTTTTCATGCTGAGATCCATTGTGTTTTCTGAGCATCATTTGAGGTGGTTAAGAAATGGCGCGCTCGCCCGCTGGATCACAATAGGTGTGTGGGTGAGTGCAGGTGACAGGATTCAAATTGCAATGAAAAATCGACTTCAAAGAGAGAGAGAGGGAGAGAGAGAAAGAAAGAGAGAACTTGCAGGTTAATCTAACATAAACTCCAACAGGTAATCAATTAAGTGTTTCGGTCACTTTGGAGTAACACGTTGCTAACAAGCCAAAAGGAGGTGAAACTTTAATGGGCTGGAAAAACACGAGAACATACCACAAAAAAAGCTGAAGGAAGGCTTAAAGGCTGTGCCGACTTTATGATACCCTACATCACTTTGCAAATTTAGTAGAGTATTATGATCGTTTTTAAATGCGTGTTATGGATTTAAAGAAGTTGTAATTTAAAGTCGAAAGGGAATAATATACATAGGAGGTATGTCCTCCTCTGAATAGATTTCTACTAAAATTTGACGGAGGCATTTGTGTCTCACCGATATTTATCAAAATCCATTTTATTTGAGCTGACATTACACTTTTTAGGCACAATAAACATGAAATCGGATTAAGATATATGGGAGGTATATCCAAATCTGAACTGATCTCTATAAAATTAAGAAGAAATATTTCTGTGCTGTGTCTGAAAGCTGGGAACAAATATAGTTTTTGTTGAGATCATTTTACGAGTGTGAGGGACTTAAATACAAAATCTAATGAAACATGGGACCTATAGCTATATCTTAAGCGATTTTCACCAAATTTGATACATTTTATTCCAGGATAAATTCGTTGGTATGTGCTAAAATTTATTTAATATTAACCATTTGACACAATAGTCCAACGGATTGATATCCGAAGATTTTGGTGGCAATTGTGCGCTGGAAATGAAGCGAGGAACCTCATTTTGCAACCATCCTTGGGTGGCGCGTGCTGAGTCCTGTTGGAATGTTCAAGGTCTGTGACCAAAATGTTTGCGTGCCCAAGACTTTAATACACCCTCCAGCGATAATATTCGGCATTCATTCTGATGCCACGGTCGATGAATACGAGCGGAGAGCGACCGTCGGCTGTTATGGCGGCCCACATCATCACTTTGGCCGGCGCTTGAGTTTTGGTGGCCAATCGAATAAACACGATCATTTTTTTTTTTACAAACTGCTGGACAACGAATGTTTTATCATCGGACACGGAGAAAACCAAATTCGGCAGTTCACCACTTTCGGCCAAGCGAAACAACTCTCAAGCTCTTTTGAGTCTATTTTCTTTCTGTTGCGGTGTAAGTTCTTGCACTTTTTGGTACTTCAATGGCTTTACCCCGAGCTAATTTTTCAATATTGTGATATGTTCAGCTCACGGGCCATTTTTCGGCCACAGCGACGCGGATTTCGATCAAGTCGCTTCTTTACCTTTTGAACCATTTCTGCAGATGTTGCTGTTTCTTCCGTCCACTTCCTAACGTCGGGCTACGCTACTAGTATCACGGTAACGAGCGATGGTACGGAACACAAAAGATTTATTCACATTTAAATGCTGGAGTGCTCTAACGAGAGCCACTTGTGGTTTTCCAATCAAATATAAAGAAATCACACTATCACGCTTGACTTCCATCACGAATAACTTTTTTTCTGGAAAACTTTCACCAAAATGCTTTTGTACCAAAATGTATGATAGCAGTCTGACGTTGGTTGCAGTTTTTTCATCTCACCCTGTATGTCTCATATAAAGATTGGACCACTCCTTCAGTACCTCTTCCATAAAGGGTCAACAATTTGATAATCATAAAGAATGTCAAAATATATTTAATTGAAACGGACATCGTCTAAGAATATTCATTCGTCGGGCATTCATGGGCCGGCAGAACTGACTGATATTTTATCAAAATTGTTGGTACAAAAAAGGCATTCTAGTTTTAAGTTTATCAAATGTGCTATCTCATTTTTAATATTTTGCTGCCAATATGTACTCATTTGTTTTTTCTTACCTCATCTGTACAAGATTTTACGATATTTAGTATCTTCGTGTATTCCAGCTCCAATATATTCGATGAAAGGCAATGATACTCTTTTGATAGTCAGAATCCTGTTTATTACCATTCGAACAGTGCTCAGTATATTTGTGCGTATTTCCAAAAATGTTTTGTACATTTTTTGTCAAAATTTTTTTGAACCAAAATTATTACTTCTTTTAAGATTTACGCATCAGTCACAAGATGCCAAACGCCGTGGAACATATCGAAGGTATAAGTACAATATGCAGGCGACATCCAACAATAAATTCTAGCGGATTAAAGGGTTGAAAAGATCCAACACATTACCAATTAATTGCATCGTTTGTAAGAAATCCAAGCTAAAGCCAACAAAAATTCTATTACTCACTTTTAACCATTTCTATTGCTTTGTATTAACTTCTACTACAATCCATGTTATATGTATGTATGTATTTAACTACAACACACCTTCGTGTACTTAAATTCCATAGAAAGGATAATCCCATATCAAATGCACCTCACCACACATCGGTATGCCAAAATCCTAGATTTATTTGAGACCTTTGTTTTTTTTCTCTCATTCTCTTCGCACTCAAAGTGCCTCTCAAAGCGTTTAGTTTATGAAAAGTAAACAGCAATGCCACGAACAACAGTAATCCTAGTAAAAGGATACTAGAACGACAACAACATCAACTTTTGATGTTTGTAAATAATCACATTGAGACACAAACACCTACAAACTTCTGAGATTCAATGAGAGTAAAAGTGACTTAATGCGAAGTTTTTATTTTTAATTTAAAGTTTCGTATTTAAATATTATAGCGTATTTTTAAAAACTAAGGGAAATATGTGTATGATTCTTGAAAACTGCAATGATTTGGGGGAGGAATGTATACAACAATAAAATTTCATAGGTGGAATAAATTCTCCCAATTAAAATTATGAGAGGATCTATTCAGATCACAGAGATTAAACGAAACATTTTTCATAAAAAATAGATACAATTAAATAATTTTATCCGCTGTTTCAATTTTATTCAATTTCACTATTGTTTAAAAAATCTATTTTTGCTTTCAACGGCCACCGTTTAATTTATGTTTGTTTGTCCCCACTACAATTGTTGTTGTTATAGTTGTTTCATATCTGCAACGTGACACCGGGTTGACAGGTATTCTCTAGAATGCTAAAGGACTCAAGGACCAGTTTGATGAAGATTATTTGGTATTACAATAAATTTACATTCAAAGTTTTCCACCGCTTCCGTAAATATTGGATGGATGGTGGGTTGGAGTGTTGTTTGGTTTTCGGCCCACAACAAGTCAGAAAGTAATTTTAGTTTTCTTGACAACGCAAGGAAGAGAGAGGGAGACAAAGAGAAAGTGGGACAGTTTTAAAATATGGAACGAGGACTATTGGTTTTTAAAATATTCCCTCGACTATTGATATTTGTATACAACCAGTCGAAGTCGATATTGAGAATCAAGTAAATGTATACAACAGACAGGATGGGGGAATAGAGAGAGGAAGTGGGGCCATATTTCCTATTTTTGCCAATCAAAGTTTGAACATAGTTTTTGATTCTGATGAATTTATATGTAATTTATGTTTTTGTTTATTTTTAAGGAAGTTGTCATAAGGGAGAGAAGGAAGTTGTCTTCATACGAGATTTGAAATTGACCATATATTGGGAGGTACCAAGTAAGGCAAATGAAAATGTTTCTTGGAAAGTTAATGGAAGAATGGGACCGATATAGCCAACCTACGACCTAAGTTTGATAAAAAAAATATAACGATGTACAAAGTTGGAATTACATCAGATACTTTCTTAACTCCCGGCCAGACAGGCATGATCGAATAGGCTACACCTAATACTACTAAGTAATACATTTGATGTTTGATAAGAATGTCTAGATTTTTCGGAGAATTAGAAGTCCAAATTCGTACATTTTGGTTAGTAAAAGAATGACTCATGGGATTGCCCCCTTTGTTGGGGAGGTACTGGAAAGTATGGAGCAATAAGTCCATATTCACACTAGATATAAAGTAGGCGACTGTATTGCTTCGAATAATTATTTTTATTATGAAACTTGTAGTTATTCAAAATTTTGAGCCATTAATGGCAAGTGTCAAAAATATTTATATTTAAATCTCCGATATATTTAATATCGGACCTCTGGTTGAGTGAAGCATGGATATACACTGAGCTTAGAAATAATGACTGACATATCCCGCAATTTTTAAGGGTTAAAAATATTAAAAATGTTGACCCCTCGTAGGGGAGGTCCCAGAAAAGTGGCTTTCTACATCCCATCTTCCCCCAAGATCTAAATATGTTAGGATGAGAGAAGTTTAAAAAGAATTGGAGGCCTATTTCGAACTTTATGAGCGTCATGGTTTTTTACAATTTTGAAACTTTGTGGGGGAGGGTAGTACAAGTACGGACCACGTCATATCCCATCACCACACCAAATTTTATGTTGGTAGAAGCATTGAGACGTGGCAAGTCTGAAAAGAATCGGATAAACATTTGCATTTTATGAGGTACTGAAAAATTTGATCTGTCGTGGGGGAGGTACCAGAGTGTCTGGTCCGATATATCCCGGCTTCTCAATATATCTAGAGTTGGCAGAAATAATGGGATGTGTGTAATTTGAGAACCTTTGTTTTGCATTTTATATGAGTTATAATTATTCTAAATTTTGGCGCCTTGTGGGAGACCATTTTCGCCCTTGACCTACCATTAAAAAAAAAAAAAAAAAAACTTGGATCTGCAAAATCTGCACAAAATTGAATACTTTCTTGTGATATGAGATAAATTATTTCTTGCAGCAATCTTGACTCTTGTGGAGGTGGCATCAGAAGGAGTGGACAGATATTCCCTATTTTGCCCAGAGTTATCGTGCGCACCAGCCAGACAGACAGACGGACGAACGAATACCCATAGATCGATTCCAAATACCTTGGAACGAATTTGATCTAGGGTCTAAAAACGTTATTTCGATGAGTTACGGTTTGGTTGCCAAATAGCTACCCTTTGTAGCTACCCATAAGTACAAGAAAAACTAATATTAAGTTCGGCGTTGACGGATTTTTATACCCTCCGGCATGGGAAACCTTTAAAACCAAGTTGACAGCTTTAATAAATTTAAATTTGGAGAACATTTAAAAATACTGAAAATGTGGCTATAACCTTCAAAATAAAAATATACATAGACAAACCAGGGCCTACATTCGAAGATGTATTTTACAGACTAAAATATAATAATATACATTTGCAGCCACTTACGGTGGAGAATGTTCCTACGACTTTCAAAACATCCAAAAATCGACATGAACCGCTACATGAGGCATATATCAAATTGTAAACAGATGTGACAGTTTTTTTTTTTTCGAAAGGCGAATTTCCATTTCAAGAGAACCAAAGAAGGTTCTTGCAACCATATCGTTTGAAAAATGTGGCCTAAGCCTCAAAATAGCGAAAAGGGACTACATGGGGGACCTTTAGCACAACATAAACTCATATAAAATAAATTTGACCAAAATTGAATAATCACATTGGTTGCATGGTTTCTAGAGACGGTCGGTCCGGTCCTACATTATAATGTGTAGAAAACCAAGCAGATCAAGAACATAAGTATTTGAAGGAGTCGTTATCGTAACAACCAAGTAACCAAATTAATACACCTTCGCCGTATGGTGAAAAGTACAAAAACGAATCAATTCTGTACCCTGGAATACCATACCACAATTAATATAGATTCCATTATTTTCAAAATATTTTTATTATCATTGTTTTGTGAAACACTTCATTCGCTTTGCAACCATTCTGATAACATACAAAGGAAAGATTTTAAAAAAAATCCCAAAATTGCATAACATTTTCATGATCTACATTTGAAAAGGCATTCAGCACATTTTTTTGTTATTTAATTTCAAAACCAAATGTTTCCTAATGAAACACTTCTTTGCACGATTTACCGGCCAAGTGTTGAAATAATTCTTAAAACTTTTTAGAATACAACATTGCTAGGCTATTAACATTCATAACCTGACTTGCACAAAAGTAAATTAGAATAAGAATTTGGCAATAATTACAAAACGCTTCCAGAATACACAATAATATCGGAGGTTGTATTACTGGCACTGTCGTATCGTAGCCAATAAAAAAAAGCAAATGAAAATCAACAATAAAATCGCCAAAAAAAAACGAAACGCACACAAACAAACAGAACAAGAAACCTTTCGGAATGGTGGCAAAATGTACACAACAAAAGCTTGATTGGTACGTGCCACTGTCAAAAACTATTGAAAATGAAATGATTTTTGTGCGTCTTTTTGGCGGTGTGAACATTTAGGCTACCCTGAAGGCAACACCACAACGTCTGCCTCGGTACACAATTGTTCGTTGCCCCGCTCATCCCATACCCGATTGACCTTACCGCGCGAGACAACACGTTTATGTCAGATTTGCATATTGCCCAAAAGCAAAGCGAATCCCATGAACATCCATTGCGCTCCGAGCCAATCCAGCGCAACCGTTTGCCAACAATCATTCGACTATATAAACTGGAAATTGCCAACGATTTGTTATCAGTTCAAAACGTTCTGCAAACAAAACACAACAAACCAAACAATTCAAAATGTTCAAATTCGTAAGTATTTCAATTCTTATCCCAGGATGTGCGACGAAAGTATCGAATGGAGAATGAAGAGATTTAATTACATTTCCTCCCTTCTCCCCATGTAGTTCGCTTTGTGCTTGATGGCTGTTGTTGCCTTGGCTGCTGCTAAACCCGGCGTTGTTGCTCCCTTGGCCTACACCGCTCCCTATGTAGCTGCTGCCCCATACACAGCTGCCTACACTGCTGCCTACGCCGCTCCCTACACTGCCGCTTATACCGCTCCTTACTACTCTGCTGCCTACACCGCTCCTTATGTTGCTGCTCCCTATGCTAGCGCCTACACTTATCCTTATGCTGCTTCCTACTTCTTGCGTAAATAGATCGATTTTAAGGATTTGAGGATTTGAACGGATATTGTTTTTGTTTTATTTGTTGACATTTTTGGATAGAAAAAAAAAACGAAAAAAAAAAAAATAAAAAATTATGATGAACCCTTTCTAATGAAGCCCAAAATAATGGAAATTTTATTTACGAAATTTGATAGGAACCTAAATAACAAAAACGATTGGAACGAATCGTTTAACAGTCCGATATATTTTTAATCGGTGTAGTTAAACAAAGAAACAAGGCTTGCATCCGCAAATGTCAGAGTTTTTTTTAACAATGCCCTAAAAATAAGAAAAAATGAATGGCTAGAACAAAAATAAATACTGAATGTAAATTAATATGTGCAAAAAATTCTCCAGGAAATATTATATATACATATGGCAGTGTTTAATGTTCGTATAAGGAGTACAACAGGACATGGTCCTCTTTGAAGATAAATTTTTTATAGTCCGAATTTTTGACCTCTTGTGCGGGATGTGCTTGAAGGGCTGATATTTTACTATCAATTTTAACAATTTGCCTAAGCCTTAAACCATGTGCCAAGTTTGGACCATATTGGATACATCTTCGCTTTATCAGGGTATTTAGGCACACTCTTTTTTATTCATCCCTTGTGTGGGACGTATCAGAAAGAGTGATTATAATTAAAAAATTGAATTTACTGACGTAGTCTCTGTTACATGCGGACCCTTCCGATTTGAGGTATTCAGGGTTGCAGGATTCAGGTTATCAAAGATCGATCGTCACACAGTGGTGTGAGATCCTCAAAAACGGAGTTTGATTGAGGGAAGCATATTTCTCAAATATCTATATAATTCGTACGATGTCTGGCATTAAAAATAGGACACATAGGTCCACGTCTAGAAAAGTCGCAATTTAATGGTACTTCTTGATTTTGTTCATTTTGAATGTTCCAGTCTCAATTCATGCGTAACTTGACATATGGAGTTATGAGCAAAAATATTCTTCCCACGCAAAAAATAGTGAAGATAGGTGCACTATTTTGTAAAGGATCCATAAAACAGGACGTCTCAATTTTAGGGTATTTTGAAGGTTTTGTACCAAACGAACCTATTATTTGGTATTTTTTCACAGTGGATATACACTTCAAATTTCAAAACAAAAGCCATACATAACGGACATTCAAAATTGTATATATTTTGAGAATCTCTCCCTGAACAAAATTTGCGAAGATAAATCCACTATTATATATAGACTCATAATAACGGCACTTCCAAATTGTAGGTATTTTGAGGTTTTCAGACCGAGTTTTTCTACAAACTTCATGTTTCGTATTTTGTTTTTCAATATATAAAAACTTCACTACTTGCCAAGATAGGACCACTATATAACGCAGATCTCCGTAGGGCCCAGTGGGGTTTGATCTCAAAAAAATATCTTAAAGCTAAAGACAAAGAGACAACCTTTTATTATGGAAGGGGAATAACATTAAAAATAAAATATTTTTGCAAAAAAAAAAAAAAATTAAAAATAGGTTCGGAATATCTTCTATATAATGCCAGACCCGTTTTTGGTATTATGAAGGTAATTACCACATTTCCAACCGCATTATCTACAAAGTTATAGCTGGGATTGGAAATGTGTAGAAGACTGATCTCCCGTTTTTCTCCAACTTTGCAATTCTTAATATTTGCGTCAGTTCTAGGTCAGGTGCCAAAATGGATAATATCGGTCCACTCCAAGTGCCTATCCCACAAAGAGTCAACATTTTGAATAACTATAACTCTTAAAAATATGATATAAAGTCGGATTGTTTTCAGATTTCACACATCCTACTTTTTTATGAGCCCAAGATCTGGAAATAAGACGGAATGTATCGATCCACTCCTTCTGGTAACCACCCACCCCCCACAAACGCTCAAAATTTTAAATTTCAATAAAGTTCATAAAAAGCGAAATTAACATCCGATTACATTCCAGACATGGTACATCTTAATATATCCATCCACTCAAGATCTGTTATAAAGATGGTAGAGTTCGGACCAGCATCCAACTCTCTTCAAATTTTCCACATACAAACATTTTTGCTAACAAAAGATTTGTTATGAAGATGCTATATATCTGGCACCTCACCCACAAATGGACACAATTTTCAATACCTTTATCTGTCATAAATTGCGAAACAACTCTACGATTCTTTACAATTTGCTATATCTAGATGCATGTGTCTTAACCAGTATCCGGAGTTTATGATTTCTCATATTATTATATACCATATTATTTATATCATATTTATTTACGTCCGATACGAAATGGACAATATTAACCCATTCCTTCAAAACCCACTTAATAGAGGGTCAAGAGTTTGAAAATTCATAACAGAAGTCAAAATATTTTAAAATAATCGAACATTGGCTGAGGGTATACATCTGTCGGTAAAACCGACCGATACTTTTTTACTTGTTTGATATCTCAACCGTGAACAAATTTCAAAATTCTATAGATTCTTTAAGGGGGCAATAATATGTCTCAATCTATGAATTATCTGATAATTACTTCAATATAACGCAGAATATATGACAACTAAATATGACCTTCATTCACTGGAAGGGACAATAGACAATGATTAACAAATCAAAAACAGAACCTAAATAAACCTGGCAAGCTTCCGATGTACGCCACACTAGACTAGGTACGTGCTGGTGTCCAAAGTACTCGACATGAAACAACATGTTGTATTATTGATCGAGCAATTTTGGCTGTAACGAAAGAAGGTTTCTGAGGTATTACTACCTCACACACACACACGCTTGACCTTGGTGTGGGTGTTGACCATAAATGTACACAGTAGATTTGCATATTGACCAAATTAAATATATTATATTTATTGCCAAGTTATTTTTTGTATAAATACTCAGTAATGTTAAAGAATTGACATCAGTTCAATACGTTCTGCAAACAATCACACAACAAACCAAACAATTCAAAATGTTCAAATTCGTAAGTTGCCCAAAAACAAAAAGAGTCTACAAATTCTAAGCAGAACCCCAATTGTAAAAGAGCAGAGTTTTAATATTTTATTTGTCTTTTCTTTTAGTTCGCTTTGTGCTTGATGGCTGTTGTTGCCTTGGCTGCTGCTAAACCCGGCATTGTAGCTCCCTTGGCCTACACCGCTCCCTATGTAGCTGCTGCCCCATACACTGCTGCCTACACTGCTGCCTATGCTGCCCCATACACCGCCGCTTATACCGCTCCCTACTACTCTGCTGCCTACACCGCACCCTATGTTGCAGCTCCCTATGCTAGCGCCTATACTTATCCTTATGCCGCTTCCTACTTGTTGCGTAAATAGATTGGATTTTAAGGATTTGAGGAATTGAACGAATATTGTTTTTATTTTGTTGATTTGTTGACATTTTTGGATAGAGAAAAAAAACGAAGAAAGTAAATAAAAAGAAATGATTCTTTTATAAAGAAATTTTCGAAGCATTTGAATCTTATTGAAAAAATGATATTTTTGTAAGGTATCAAACTTATTTGCGGTGTTAGCAAGAAAGTCCTCCGGATGATGGAATGGAAACGTTCAAATCTACTCATACTTTGATTGTACAAAATTGTGAGCATGTCTGGCTCAAAGAATACAAAAAATGTTGGCGAAATAATTTCGTTCATGGTCAGTTATAAATAAACCTGGATTTTCTTTATTTCCGTTGAATTTTTTGAACATCGAGCTAATCTTAAAAGATTAATTTGATTATCCTTAAAAATATGGAAGAGCAAACTACCAAAAAGGGTTCTAATAGGACAGGGATTAGAATAAAAAATACAAAATCCCACAAACAAAATGATCCAAACGCATTTAATTAGAAACCCAGGAAAAATTCTAAAAAAAGTGGACCTAAACGAACAATTTTTTATAAGGAACTTTCGATTTACTCAGAGCCCAAAATGAAAGTTACTTCTGTGGAAAATGTATGTAAAATCTCTAAAAATCGTCAAATACCAAATGGAAACTTTAAAAATTTCTTTAGTAAAATATCTTAAACGCCAAATTCAATTGTTTTTAATACCTAAGATTTACAGCAACGTTTCGCGGAAAATATTTCAATGCTTTTACTTATTTCGACTATTTTTTGCAAAGGAACAACCCTCTAAAAAGTTAAAAAATAAAATTGCTGACAATTCAAATGTTAAAAACAGGTCGTGCCATTTTATCAAAACTTGACTCATCGTAATACTTATACCAAACTTATATAGAAATGGGCAAAATCGGTCTATTTTTGGTACCTCTTTAACAAAGGATCAAAATATTTATAAAATGTCTATCACATATAAAGCAAAGGGAGTGTCCGAATTCGGTAATATTTATGACGAGCGAAAAAAGGCAATATTCATCAAATATCAAAATTCCTCATAATAACTCTCATGAAATGTGCACTCAGCATAAAAACTTCTACTTATATCTTTACCAATCTAAGATATTGCCTGAAGATGTAAAGAGATATCGTCTGGTGCCTCCATTATAAACTATAGCATTTTTACATAAAAACAAGTTAAAAAATTATCAATCGGTTTTTTTTTTTTTTGATTATTTAAACATATTTTGACTTCTGTTATGATTATTCAAACTATTGACCCTCTATGGAGTGGGTTTTTGAAAGAATGGTCCAATATTGTCCACTTCGTTTCGGACCTAAATAAATATGTTATAAATATTGCGACGTGCCAGGTTTGAACTATACTTCCTTTTCTTTATATGAGATACTTGATAATTTCTCGAAAATATTGAAAAAATGTGCGTGATATAGTCGACCGAAGTATTCCACATTCATACTTCATCTAACATAGATAAAAATATTTGTATGAAAAAGAAAACAAGAAAATCGAACATTTATATGCAATTTTACGCGAGATCATTAAGTCCATATTTATCTCAGGTTTTTGGTTGAGGGAAATATTTAGATATAGAAAGTTGTAAAGAATCGCTGACTTTTTTACATGCTATGACAGGTAACAGTAGTGAAAATTGTGACCCTTTGTGTGTGAGGTACCAGAAGTGGTGTTAGCAAAGATGTTTATCTGTGTGAAATTTGAAGAGAGTTGAATGCTTATTTACCATTCTTTGGGCATTTTGCTTTTCAAAATTTTAAAGTATATATGGGGGAGGTATCAGAAGGGATGGTCCGATCACTACCATCTTTACAAGATATCTTGTGTTGATGGAAATATTGAAATGTACCAAGTCTGAATGGAATTGGATGTTAACTTCGTGTTTTATGAGCTTCATGAATATTCAACATATTCCCCCTTGGTGGGGAGGAGGTATCAGAAGAAGTGGGCCGATATATTCCATCTTTACTCCAGTGGGTTAATAAAAATATTGTGATGTATGTAATTTGAAGACAATCGGACTCTTACATCACATTTTTAAACGAGTTACAATTATTCAATATGTTGACCCTTTGTGGGGGAGCTACTTGATGGAGAGGACCGATATTGCAATTTTCGCACCAGACCTAGCACTGATGCTAATATTAGAATTTGCAATTTTGGAGCAAAATCGGATGATCCTTTCCCTTTCTTTCTGTAATATTTTTCTTGAAAATGTCGATCTTTTGTGGGGGATTTAACAGAAGAAGTGGACCGATATTGACCATCTCCGAGCTCCATCTAATTTTTATAATAATATTACAATGTTCCAAGTTTGGACAAAATCAAATACTTCCTTCGAGAGTTATCGTGCGCACCAGCCAGACATATGAACGGGTGGACCGACGGACATGGCTAGATCGACTCTAAATCTCCTGAAACAGATTTGGTCCAAAGAGACCTAGGGTCCAAGACCGTTAATTCAATGTGGCAGTATACCCTGGGGGTAAAAAAAGTGAATAAAATTATCAAGATCTATCGGTCCCCCTTCTGGTACCTCACCACAAATGACTAAAAATTTTGAAAAATCTAATAAAATAAAGCGAGTATTATTTGTAACCAAATGATAAACATTTAAAATACTCATAAAGCTCATATAATTCAAGGGGTGTATATGTATCAATGTCATTATATTTCTGACATTGTTTTAGAACTTCACGTGCCACTTGACAGACAATTTCAAAATGTTCAAACTGACAAAAATGCTGAAAATCGTTCAACAAAGCCAAGAGAAAAATTACTATTAAATTCTTAAAATGGAAATAGTCAATTATCCACAGTAAGTAAAAAAACGTTAATTCGAATAGATCCCGACATTATAGTTCATTGATTGAAATAAGCCTTCAAGAGTGCCATTGGTGTGAGAATCTTACACAGATGTTGATGTGGAGTCACGTGACCAACTTACTTAATCATCGGTTGATTAAACTTTCAAACAAAACCGAAAAAACTTGCAATCAAAACAAAAGAAGAATAAACAAATCTAAAACAGAAGTTAACTAAAACATGCCACATGTACGCTTTAGCATAATTTGTACGTGTTGTTGTCGACACGGCTGGATTTGAATTAAAAAAAGTTTCTACTGTTAAAAATTCAGGCAATATTGAAAGAAGCTCAAACATGAATCGCCGAACAATTGTTCCCTTACCGGCAAACTTTTGGTCTTAGTGTGGGTGGTGTTTGGCCATTCATGTACGTACATATCTTCATTAATTGAAACATACACATGTACATGCATGCATAAATATTGGATTTGCATATTGAAAAATATATCGATACGCAAAAAAAAATAATTAGAATTTTGCCAACAAAACGAATTGTATATAAACTTGGAATCGCCAACGAATTGTCATCAGTTCAATACGTTCTGCAAACAATCACTCAACAAACCAAACAAAATGTTCAAATTCGTAAGTTGAAAATCAATAACCGTTTTAATTCTTATCGGAGGATTTTCTACGAGAGTTATCAAATTCTAATAATGTTATTGTTATCCTCATACAGTTCGCTTTGTGCTTGATGGCTGTTGTTGCCTTGGCTTCTGCTAAACCCGGCGTAGTTGCTCCCTTGGCCTACTCCGCTCCCTATGTAGCTGCTGCCCCATACACAGCTGCTTACACTGCTGCCTATGCTGCTCCCTACACCGCCGCTTATACCGCTCCCTACTACTCTGCCGCCTACACCGCTCCCTATGTTGCCGCTCCTTATGCCAGCGCCTACACTTATCCCTACGCCGCCTCCTACTTGTTGCGCAAATAGACTGATGTCAAAGGATTTTAGGAATTGAACCAAAATTGTTTTTGTTTCATTTGTTGACGATTGAAAAAAGTTATAAAAAATAATGAAAACAGTAAATAAATGAAATTGTTGAAACCGAAAATAATGTGAGATTTTTTTTTTATTTTTGCAATAAACCACATTTCCAACTTGCCACTCTGGCTGGAAGCTTTTAAAGATCCCTTTTAAAAACAACTCGTTTGGAAAATTGGGTCAAGGTCATCGAAATAACATAAAAAGAAGGCACGTTTACATAGAGTTGGAATACCCAATCTTTACCAAGAAGGCTTATTAGCCTCTGCGAATTCTTTATACTGACTCACAGATAATTTTTGTCAAAAATGTGGGTAATACTTCAAAACGTACTGTTATAGCGAGCTATAATACAAGATTCAAAAACAAGATAAAGATAAAAACAAAATTCAAAAAATGCCCATCAAATAGGTTTAAAGAGTTTATACTGCGTCCCTTGATCAGGGCTACGGACACGATGGTTAGAATTCATTTTTTCTCAACACCCCAGTTTTTGTCGTCGCCGAGAAGAAAATTTCTATGTTGGACATGGGAAACGCGTGTAATATTTTTAATTTTATTTATAAAAAAGTTAAAACTATGCGACGTCATACGGGCCTCATCGTTTCTGCTCCAAATTTGGTACTGCTGGATAAGATGAAAAAACTGCAACCAACTTCAGACTGCTGTCATTTCCAAGCCACTTGTCCGACAGCTATTAAAATTATTCCAGTGGCAGCTCATAATATTGTTTAGAAGCGTACAAAAGCATTTTGGAGAGAATTTTCCCGAAAAAAACTTATTCGTATGGAATTTAAGCGTGATAATGTGTCCATCATTAGAGCACTCCAGCATTTAAATGTGAATAAATCTTTTGTGTCTCTCGTACCATCGCTCGTTACCGTGATACTGGTAGCGTAGCCCGACGTCAAGGAAGTTGACGGAAGAAAACAGCAACATCAGCAGAAATGGTTCGAAAAGTAAGGAAGCGACTTGATCGAAACCCACGTCGCAGTGGCCGAATACCTGCTCGTGAGCTGAACATATCGCCATATTCCATTCGGCAAATATTAAAAAATGACCCCGGGGTAAAACATTAAAATTCCAAAAAGTGCAAGAACTTACACCGCAACAGGAAGAAAACAGACTTAAAAGAGCTAAAGAGTTGCTGCGCTTGACCGAAAGTGGTGAACTGCCGAATTTCGTTGTCCAGCAGTTTCTAAACAAACAAAATGGTCGCGTTTACTTGCCAAAGAGGTCAGCTGAAAATGTACACCTTCGGTTGGCCACCAGAACTCAAGCCACCAAAACCACCACCAAATCTCCGGATACCAATCCGTGGGACTATTGTGTCTGGAGTATTTAGCTTGGCACTAAAAAATACCAAAGTGTCGATGAACTCAAGCAAGCGCTTAGCCGGCAGTGGTCCAAAATATCGCAGAGCAACATTCGGGCAGAGACGGTTTCATTGGTCTTTGAAGCGCATATTTATTTGCAAATTCAAATATTTTTTTTATCAATGCTAGGTGCGAAAATAGAAAATATTGGTCCAGTGTATCATGTACCTCCCCCACAAAGTCTCAAAATTTCGAATAATTAATAATCTTATAAAATGCAAAATAAACATCCTATTATCTTCAAATTGAACACATTGCAGTATTTCTGTACTGCAATGTGTTCCTCCGGTACCTCCCCCGCATCCGATCATTTTCAAATTTCACACATCCCAATATTTCTACCAGTACAAGACCTGGTATGAAGATGGTATATGTCGATCCACTCCATCTGGTTGCTCCTCCCCATAAAGGGGTAAACATTTTCAATAACCATGTCGCTCATAAACCCAAAATGAGCATCCGATTATATTCAAACGTTGCACAACCCATGAACAGACCGGAAGATGGAAAATGTCTGGTACCTCTGAAAATTTTGAATACTTATGATAACTCTGATAAAATGTGAAATAAGATTTCGAATGTCTTCAAATTTCGTACATCTCAATATTTCTACCAATACAAGATTTCGTATTAACAGCGAATAGAACGGAGCACAACTTCTGGTACCTTCCCTACAACTGGTGGTCCACGAAGCTCAGAAAGCACTGCATCCCAATATGTCTATCAACACAAGATCTAGTGTGAATATAGAATATATCGGACCACTCTTCCAGTATCACAAATTTCAATAATGGGTCCAAATTTGCTATAGGCTTGATATAACGAAACAACTTAATATGCGTCATGGTGACCGCTCCAATTCCCAAACGAATGACATGAAATTCGCCACTCTGGATTCTCATTGGACGAACTCGCTCTACTAAAAATATTCTATATTAGTCCACGATTTCCGATTGAAGAAACGGTGATTTGATATTTTGAAATCATACTGGAGAAATACATTCTACAAAAAATTATTCCTTGAAATTTCCAATAGATTTTTGAATTTCTAAACTATTTTTGTCATTAAATATTTTGAGATCGTAACATTCAGGGTGGGTACAGAAATTCGACTCAGTGTATCTTAACGTTCCGTTTATTCTATAGCAATATCGGTTTCATAACTGATCGATGATCGTATCAATTAACATTGATAGGTCCCTTAGATGGAAATAATTCCATAGAGATCCAATTTTCGATTGTAGATAGTGTTTTGCAACAATTTTTTTTTTTTTTTTTTTTTTTTTTTTTTTTTGTATTTATCAGAACATTTTTATCGTTTATTCTATATCAGTCAAGGTTATGTTACCTTAAGGTATGTTACGATTTTCTATATCCTATTGATTAATATTCTTCCCACTACCCCCTCAATGAGTTCGTCTGTTGCGAAGATAGCACCCTTTATGAAATATGAAAATCGGCAATAAAAAATGCCCCAAAAGCCACCAAACTTGGATTGAAACACTTTGATTTGTACGTGTCACTCACTGTTCAGACGATTGACATTTTGTGGGCAAACACTTAGGCAATGGTAAACAGAGCAACAACAACACCACCACCACCACAACAGTTGAACCACCAATTGGCAAAGTGTCTGCTTCCTCAACATAAAATCTGACCTTGGTACGGGTGACATGTTCGTGTAAAATTTGCATATTGCCTAAATAAAAGAGAGACAAAAAAAAAACACCACAACAAAAAATCGTAACAGCCAACCATGAAGCCAAGAAACAAAAGAACCTTGTGATGGTGACATGTCCGCAAAAGAAATTTGCATATTACCAAAAAAAGAAGACTAATATTAAGAAAACACGGCAAAACAAAATCGGAACAGTTGAGTTGGGAGCCAAGAGACAGAGACTAACTGCCAACTTTTAAATGACTATATAAACTAGGAGATATTAACGATTTGTTATCAGTTCAATAAGTTCTGCAAAACAATTAAACAAACAAAAACTCAAAATGTTCAAATTCGTAAGTGTCCAAAGAAAAATAGGATAATTGAAATTGGAACCATAAAGGATAAACTTTATATTAACAATACGGATATTCTTTATTTTTTAACAGTTCGCTTTGTGCTTGATGGCTGTTGTTGCCTTGGCTGCGGCTAAACCCGGTATTGTTGCTCCTTTGACTTACACCGCTCCCTATGTAGCTGCTGCCCCATACACAGCTGCCTACACCGCTGCCTATGCCGCCCCCTACACCGCCGCTTATACCGCTCCTTACTACTCTGCTGCCTACACCGCTCCCTATGTTGCCGCACCTTATGCCAGCGCCTACACATATCCTTATGCCGCTTCCTACTTGTTGCGTAAATAGATTGGGTTTTTAAGGATTTGAGGAATTGAACGGATATTGTTTTTGTAGACTTGTTGAATATAAAAAAAAAAAACGAAAAAATAAATAAAAATAATGAACCCATTTTGTTAAACCCAAATACATGTAGTAATGACTTTTAATAATTATATAACAGAATAATTATCACAACAGAGAATTCTATGAGAATCACAGAGGACCGTCAGGTTGCCTTATCAACGTCCAGACGTAAAGTCTAAGGATAAAATCTTGATATTTTGTTTGTGGCGCAAGCGAATATTTTTTTAATTTATACCATAAAGTAGTAAACGGGACAAACAATTTCGCTAAAATTCTGTAGTTTTAGATCAGAATCTTTAAATTTTGCATTTAGCGAAGCATGTTTGGTTACCAACCCATTGTTTTTAAATTTTTTGGTCACTTAAGGCCCATTAAAAAATAAATACTTATGTATTTATCGACTTTGGTCATATATGTAAAAGTCATGGGTTCGAATCCAGAGTTGTAATGAGTATTTGGCATTGTACTAAAAGGTATTCAAAAGTACTAAATCTTGAACTAATAGTGACAACACTGTGAAATATGGTTGTAGGTTGGTCCAATGTAGTGAAAATGTTTTGCTTAATTTGTTTTCAACAACAGTCGGTTTAGCCGACAGATGTATACCCTCAGCCAATGTTCAATTATTTAAATATATGTTGACTTATGTTATGATTATTCAAATTGTTGACCCTCTATGGAGTGGGTTTTGAAAGAATGGCCCAATATTGTACATTTCTTATCGGACCAAAATAAATATGATATAAATATTGCGAAGTGCCAAGTTTTGACTATATCGGCTACTTCCTTTACTTTATATGAGATAAGTGGTAATTTTAAGAAAATGTTAATATGTGTGTGAGGTATCAAATATAGTCGTCGGAAGTATTCCATTTCCATTCTTTATACAATACAGATATTTATATCCAATTTTAAGCGAGATCATAAATCCCATATTCATTTCAGGTTTCTGGTTGAGAGAAATATTTAAATATTTAGTTGTAAAGAATTTCTGACTTCTTTCGCAACTTATGACAGATAAAAGGATTGAAAATTGTGACCCTTAGTGGACGAGGTACTAGAAGGGATTCGCAGATATATAGCATCTTGACAACAGATCTTGTGTTTGCAAAAATGTTTGTATATGCGAAATTTGAAGAGTGTTGCAAGCTTATTTCGCTCCTCCTATATGGGGTAGATACCAGAAGAAATAATCCGATCTCCACCATATTTATAACAAATCTTGTGTAAATGGAAATATTGAGATGTACCAAGTCTGAATGGAATAGGAAGTTAATTTCATGTTTTATGAGCTTTATGAATATTCAAAATTTTGACCCTTTGTGGGGGAGGTAATAGATGGAGTTTTATTTATTCAAAATGTTGACGCTTTGTGGGGGAGGTATTTCATGGAGTGAACCGACATTTTCCATTTTCTCACCTGACTGATGGAAATATTAGGATTTCAAAGTTAGAGCAAAATCGGATTGTCCTATCTCTTCCTGTGCAGTAAATTATTTTCTTTGAAAATGTTGAACTTCGACCTTGGGGATGTACAAAGCTTAGACCAAATCGGATACTCCCTTCGAGAGTTATAGTGCGCACCAGCCAGTAGTCTGACAGACAGACGGACGGACATCGCTAGATCGACTCCAAATGTCCTGAAACGGATTTGTTCCAAAGAGAACTAGGGTCTAAACAAGTTATTTCGAAGAGACTCTTTTTGGCCGTATCACATGATATATACCCTCACTAGGCATATGGTTGAGGGCATAAAAATCGTCATCATTGGTACTAAAAAAATTCAATTGCACTACATACAGATCGGGTAAAGTCTCAATTTTGCATGAGTATAACCTATGGCATGAAGTGGTCAACGCGGAAGGTATGAGGATACAAAAATATGATTCGGATCTAAAAGTCTGTAGTATTACAATATATCAACATTTAGAAGAATAAAATGTAATCCTTTAAAATGACAGTATCCAAGTTGCGAAAGTGCAGCATTTTAGACCCGATTTTTGTGTTTTTGTGTCTTTTAGTACGCTTTCAGTAAAAAATATTTAGTATTGTTTGAGCTAGATATATGAAATTTGGTATGAAGCTCGTTCTGTTGATTCGAAATTGAACTTATTTGGTTCTAACAATTTTAATACTCTGGATCAGGGGAATCTCTTCTGATGTAAAAAAGTCAAAAAGAACTGGTTATATTAGATATGTAGTAAAGGGTAACAAAGGTATTTTTGAGGTACGAAACATCCGATTATCTTCAAATTACACACATCGCAGTATTTCTACTCACTCAAAATAATGGGTGTATATGGAATATATCGGACCTCTCCCTCCGGTACCTCCCCGGATCCGATCATTTTCAAATTTCACACATCCCAATATTTCTACCAGTACAAGAGGTACAAAAATTAGTACTAAAAACAAAGAAATTGAAATTACAGCTATTTCCGGAGTCTCAGTCACATTTTGAGACTTAGTCCTTCTTTGATATTGTGGTTTTCAAGGGGGTAGAAAACCTATTCGAAGTAAATTTTCAATATAGGTCAAGGTTTCGGAGTAATGCCCAGATAAAGGTACCTCCTGATTTTACCTATTTCGAGGGTTTTCAGCACATCTTTGAATCAATTTAGCTAAAACATTATAATTAATCTAATTTTGGGGTAGAGGATCATCAAAAAAACAAGAAAACACAACATACGTATATAACTTTCGTACTTTAAGAATAAGTAAAGATGGAATACTGAGATTATTTGAAATAGTTACTAGTTTAACACAGGTTGGTCTCCGATATTGTAAAGGCCCCCAATGGGCGCGTAGTATTCAAATTTGATGCAATTAATACTTCTAATTTGGCTATTCTATGGGTTCTATAGGTGAACTATTTCTTTATGTTCGTTTGAACACGCGTATCTGCCTGTATTTGGAAATATTACTTACAAAATAGGTATTCCTGTCATATGTCAACATGTGATATTTACCTGAAAAGAGCAAAAAATAGGATTACTAACCAAATTGTAAACGTGTTTATTGCAAAAAATTAATCATGTTATATAAATATGTAACAAATTTGCAGTTAATTACCAATTCAAAGTCCTCCTTGGAAATTAGAGTCACTTGACAAGTTAAGCTGAGACAAGAGAAACCCATCATCAACCCAGCCAAAGGAACGAGCAAAGAAACGACCCAATTAGGTTTGTTTCAATTTCCAGCCAGTTTGCCAAATGACCACAAATCCTCGACGACATCGTATTGATGAAATTGCCTGTGACTTGTCAACAGGCGGCAGGGAGACCCAAACAACAACTTGGACAGATTGATGGAAAACACTCTGGGCAGTAGCATTTAACTCATCGGGGAAAGCATGGAGGGGAGAGAGGGTGAAGAATGCCATTAATTGTAAACCACAATTCCTACGAATCTTCTGACACAGAAAACCGAGCGCCACTTTAAGCCAACAGATGGATGGTCGTTTGGTTTGTCGGTCGGTCACCCGTTCGGTTGGTCGTTTGGCGAGGATAGCTTTAATTAGCACACTGCAATATGTAATCTAAGCAGCATTTGTAGCATTGCAAATTACAAAAAAAGGAAGGAAAAGGAAACAAGTTTTCTTCAATTTCAAATGGAAATAATTGCAATTACTTTATCTTCGCTTTCATCCACATTCTAACCGACCTCCCCTCACTTTCTCATTGGCCGTCGTCAATAATCCAGTTAACAGTTTTATTTTGTGTTGCTACATTCTGAAAAGGATTCTGCATTTTTCATTTTAATTTCCTTTTCGCCCTCAATTTTCACTGCCAGTTTTGCTTGAATGGTAACAGATTCATGCAGCAGTGTTCGCAATATATTCATTTGTTAAGACCCTAACTGTATTCGACTGCCATTAAAGACTAAGTGGTGTTTTGGCATTTTCGCTCCAACACTTTTTAAGTAATAGATTGGTAAAAAATTAAAATCGAAATAATACAGATTTGATTTAAGCCGTTGAAGCCGATAATCTGTGATATTAATAATCGTTGTCGGCAGTGATTTTCGCAATGATCGCGATCGCTAGTCAGACTAGGTGTAAATAATTGTACTCTATTATTATAATTATTTCATTTGAAATTCGAATTCTTTCTTTTTTATACCCTTCACCATACATAGTATGGAGGGTTTATTATGTTCGTCATTCCGTTTGTAGCACATCGAAATAGTAATTTTAGACCCAAAAAGGTGTATATATTTTTGATCATTGTAAAATTCTGAGGCAATTTAGCCTGCCCGTCGGTTCGTCTTTATATTTGGCTGGAAAACCACAAGTGGTTATCGTTAGAGCACGCCAGCATTTAAATGTGAATAAATCGTTTGTGTCTCGTACCATTGCTCGTTACCTTGATACTGGTAGCGTAGCCCGACGACAAGAAAGTGGACGGAAAAAAACAACAAAATCAGCTGAAATGGTTCGAAAAGTGAAGAAGCGACTTGATCGAAACCCGCGCCACAGTGGCCGAAAAATGACTCGTGAGCTGAACATATCGCAATATTGAAAAATGAGCTCGGCGTTAAGCCATTGAAATTCAAAAAGTGCAGGAATTTATACCGCAACAGAAAGAAAATAGACTCAAAAGAGCTAAAGAGTTGTTTCGCTTGGCCAAAAGTGGTGAACTGCCGAATTTGGTTTTCTCCGATGAGAAAACATTCGTTGTCCAGCAATTTGTAAACAAACAAAACGATCGTGCTCTCTGCCAAAGAGGTCAGCTGAAAATGTGAACCTTCCGTTGGCCACCAGAACTCAAGCTGTGATGGTGTAGGCCGCCATAACAGCCGATTGTCGCTCTCCGCTCGTATTAATCGACCGTGGCATCAGAATAAATTCTGAATATTATCGCAAACATATTCTGGAGGGTGTATTAAATCTTGGGCACGCAAACATTTTGGCCGCAGACCTTAGGCATTCCAAGAGGACCCTGCAACATCGCACTCAGCACGCGCCAC